CTTAAATATGCATGCTCTAAATTAATTCACAAAATACGCACTCATAAATTGTTCAGCATTTGTCAACAACCAATCACAAGACTGGTTACGAACCACATCGAGGTCACGACTCGGTTAGCCTTGCTCAACTGGTTCGTAACCAGTCTTGTGATTGGTAAATAATTATACTCATGAGGAATTTGTCAGATCTTGAATGACGAATGATGTCAACATGTCTGAGTTTGAGAATATTACGTTCGACGAGATATCGGATGCAATTGACAATCTCTTCCATTGGAAAAGCAGCAGGGTTTTATCCGGAGGGGGGGGGGGCATTACATAGAACTTGCCTAATGGGGACGTGCCCCTGAAATGGATTTCGTTTTTTTGGATTTTAGGTATAAGTACTACAGTATCGATCCTATTTCTGGTCAAAATAGCTATAAATATCGGTAATATTATTCCGATTTGGTATACTTATTTAAGTGACAGAGGTGTTTCTATGGCCAAAATACATATTTTAATACATCAATGTACAATGCAACTGTTGGCTTACATGTGCTTCTATTGGAGATGCTCTTCTAATAGAGCAAATACGGTAACTGTTTTATTTGGAATAAACAGTTATGTCAGAAATGGTACTTTGGTATAAATATGGGTGTAGATTTTGCCACTATCCAAGTATAAAAATTGTCACACTTTTGAGCACTCGGGGCGCCTCCATACCCAGCTATGTGTCAACTGCCTCCCCTGGGGGCTTGATCTGCTGAACATTTCAAATATGCCGGTGAAGCACTACACATATTGATAGTACTTCTGATGTCTTCAATGTTAACTTCATCACAAATTTACGTAGTTTCACCGGGGAAATAACAAATTTGTTATACTGTCATGTCATGTCTGAAATTCTTGAGTATATAATGCGAGAACGATGTGATGAACGTGTGTTATCTAGGCGTTAGCAAAGCTTTCGATGGAGTAAATCGTTTGAGCTTATTCAAGATAATCAATTTTCTGTAAATAACGGAGTTATCCCCACTGCTTTCCACTATATATAATGGATGACTTGAGCAAATGTCGCGAGAAGTGCAACAAATGTCGTATTATTGTAGCTTCCATGGTTAACCACCTTATGATTTGGCATATATGAGCCCGCCTATACCTGCGTAGCATGCGGTATCTGTATGTGAGGCGTACGGATTAGATTATGACACTATGTATAAACAGAAGAAATCAGGTTGCATGTACATTTCACGTAAATCTCACCTCACTGTTGATAAAATTCTACCAGTATATATAAGTGGTAAATGGTGGTTATGTATTGAGTGATATCTTCACAGATCACATTATTCGTCAAATTCTCAAACTGTTTATTCGATGTGAAATGACTCTTATTGCGCATATTCTGTTGCAACATGTATTGGTCTCACCTCGTGTTTTGTATTTTGTCTACGGGAGAATGTAGTGTTCGCGAGATGTGTGTAAATAATGACACTCTCGAGACTCTCAATCGTAACCAAACGTACATATTTTACGGGAGACTTCAGAACAGTGACAAACAGATTTTGAAAATTGAGTTTGGTTCAGATGTACATCTTATATGAAAGTTTCACATATTGTAGAGAAATGATATGTACATTTATCTCTACACTTTAGTTCCATCAATTCTATAATAGTAGTTTAAATATAAGTCACATCAAACGCTGGTTTTGGCATTCTTGTGCGGGGGAATCGTTACTTTTACATTACAGAAATGAAATACAAACATAATAATTGCATGTAAATGACAATATCCGAAAACAAAACAAAATATGACGATTTGTGAAATGGGGGAGGGAGCATGGCTCGTTCGTCCCCCTTAATCCGACCATCTTCGTGTTAAGTCAATATGTATATTATTTACATTGCTTTCAGCGTTTCACCATCAATGATTTGCATTCTGCGTGTGGCCGCACATTATCGGTACTTTTGGTATGTACTCAAGGACAACTATGAACAATAGTATTTTAATTTGTACATTTATTAATAATATTAAATGACTCGAATTGATGTGTTTTGCTTTGCTCAAGATCATGATCACCAATAATTACACGCTCGAAAAATCAATGACAATGCATTGATTGTGAATGAAAGCGTACACAGAATTAACAATCAGTGCAGAATAATAAACGATATTGGGCACGTGACACGATATACCAACATATTGTAAATCGACTTTGTTTACATTATGACAAACATCGAAAGGCGAATAAACTAATAATAAATTAGGCAAAGGGTGCTTTCAAGGCATGTTATCCAAGTAAGGTATCATCGATAATGCTTCACGCGTAGAATGTAGGTAAATTAATAGTTATTGTAAATGGGTTACTTCACTGTGTTGATTGTTGATTTTGTTTAAAGGGGCACTTCCATTTAAGCATAATCTCACAACAAACAAGAAATTTACGTTCTATATTAAAATAACGATGGATAACAAAAGATAGATTAACTTTGTAAACAACATGAACAATAGTGTCCCATGATTCTTTGGTGCAATCCAAGGGATTGAGCGAACGTCAATGAGGTGGAAAGACGTATTAAAGCGTTGATCTGTTCCACAAACAATATAAAACACATAATTCGAACACACGATCACTTTACTGATCGCCACTACAAACAGATTCGCTACCTGTCACATAAATTCGTAGTTCGAAATAACATGCTGTAAATACCACCCACCACGACTAGATGGTAATTCACATGTCGAATCTCGGACATCACAAACAAAGTATATAGCTATATGGCCAAAGCTTAAATGTCCACCATGCAGAAACAAGAAATAAGTCGAATTAATCAATTTTACATGCAAACAAATAGATAGAAAAATATTTCATCATGAGACACATGATCATTGAAATCGCCCCGCCACTGCAAACTAGTTAATCCGGCAAAAAAACCAAAATGACTAAAAACTCTGATATCTTGCTTGCTCAATGACGCGCATTCCTATCCTAATTATTTGCGTGACATATACACAGGTATGATTTGCCGCATTAAACATTTGTATTGTTAATAAAATACAAACTTGAAGGACACCAATCATAATAATGTTCTACTCTATCACGCATCTGTAGCATATAAATACATGGCCACATTTGTAGCGTGTTGTTCAGTATCTTAACTGGTATTTTGAAGTAATTGGCGATAACCCCCACAGGTAAGCATAATCTACATTGGCTTCTACAGAATATTAGCGAGTTTTGGCATATTCTCATTCTTCTTAAAAATCGATATCATTTCTTATCTACAGTTATGAATTAGGTAATGTTACCGTCATGTTTTACTTTGATTCGAATATGCATTAGACATTTGTTTCGAACTGGAGACATTGTATTTATATCGGAGATAACACTAGAAAGATTGTTTTCTTAAATTACATTACACATTCCGTCTTCTGGGGTGTCCGTACAATTTGTTTTTCTCACACAAATGTTTTTAGTATTACAAATAACTAAAATTTCGAATTTCGAGAAGTAGAATGTGATTATAACATCACTAATGTGTGGACAGTAGATTCAATGCACGTAGAATATTCATGCCTCTAAATAGCTTATAATCAATTTCCCTATTACATTAACACCCGGCATTCTTTTCAGCAATTTACAACTTACTATTAATACCTTAGTACTGATTGCAGAAAACAAACTAGCCCGATTCGAAGGCAGAGAAGATACTGTAAAGGGTTAATTATTTACTGGGTTTTAATTTTGCTTATTTCGCTGAATGGAAAATGCGTTAAAAATTAAAACCCAGTGAATATGTGAAATTTAGCATAAGACACGTTATCTTAATTTTAAAACCGTGAATTTAAAACCCATTTAATATGCGTGAAATGGTAAATCAGCGAAAGTTAAACGCAGTAAAAATTACTCCGTTGTGGGGAAATTGTTTTAATCTGTTTAGAAGCAGGCTTTTTCTATTCACAGTGTTGATACTCTGGTAGACAGTCAGGTTGTATATTAAATTAGAATAGCCTCACATCACCTCATAACTCAGTTTAAATAAAAATTATCAAGTGCAAAATATATGTTTAATCATGTTTTCATCAAAAAGTTTATAATATTTAATATGGAGATGTGTCTACAATATTTTATGATTATGAAGCAGATGATCGTTATACTTTTAACCAGCTACTTAAAAACTGATCTATTTCATGTTTAGAATTGAGAAATTGAATTCTATTTATTCAATCATGTATAATCTTTTCATGCGGAAACCAACGACTATTTACTGTCACTTAATCATGAATTCATTGATAAAATTGTTGCTTCACAGTGAACTCACTTTCCGGTTTCCAACTAAACAGAGAGAATATATTTGCCATGTACAATTTTTAATGATAAGTTGCTTCTTACGTTTTTCGAGATGCAATGGTTTTATGTATACATGTAATGTACCTCGTATTATGAATATTCAGATGATGGTTGTGTCACGTGATATGTTTGCTCATGCGCGTTATAAAATGCGCCATTAACTTCGTTTTAATCGAAGTTAGTATTCTTCAAATATATGTAACAAATACGTCATTGCGCGTAAATATGTGCAATTATTTGAAAATACTGAAAATTCAGAAAATACTGTAGTCGATTGGTGAATGTTTTGTATGTGAAACAACTTAGAAGGAGAAGTTGCTGACATAATCGATTAGAAAGTCACGTGCACCAGGAATCCACTGAATGGTCTAGTTTTTTTTTTTCAGAGGTCGGTCATAGGAATAAAGTGAAGTCTTCTTTTGTTTTGTTCTCATTCAGCGTCATGAAGTTTCTGTGTCTGTTGTTGATGGTATGTGTTCTCGAAGAACGTGTCAACGGTGAGTAAATAATGCGTGCCTATACTAAGACTACACGAATCGCCAAACAAATGCCGCTGAAATGAGTGCATTGGTATTTCGGTAGAATACAACCTTTGAGACGGATGTAGGGGCCGTTATCAACAACATTTTAAAAGGCGGTAGTCGTTGCGCTGCGCATGTGCGACATTTGTGTTGATAATTTCCCATTAATTTTCCCATAAACCATTGCGCTCTTCTAATATAAATCACAAGTATGAGGTTTGACCTGGGCGCGACTTGCACTATTTACCGCCGGTGACTTTTTCGACACCTTCCAGTCACCTGAAAATTCCTAATTAAAGTTTGGTAACGTCTCAGTTTGTACTCGTTGATCTGCCTAACAGTCAAAGTTGCCATCCTATGTTTATATGAGACCAATATATCTTGCGCATGCGTAGCGCGACGACTACCGCCCTTTAAATACGGGAATGAACTAGCGCTGACATTTACGTAAACTCTGCAATAACCTAGTTCTAACATTCACGTTAACTCGGGCTCCTTAAGTTTAGGGCCGGGGAGGGGTAACTCCATGGCATGGGAGAATTTCTCATCCTAAACAAAATCATACATTTTTAAAACTGTTGTAAAATTAATTGTAACATGTTTATGTACATTTATCTGGTATTATTACTCACATTATTGCACCTCGCACCATATTCCGAAATATATGAAGGTGTCCACTTTACTATATTCGACCAAAAGGGGTATGAGGTTTGCTGTTTGAACACTATTCATATATTTTACCTCTTCAAAAATACATTTGCCAAGCAATTATTAAACACGCTGCTAAGCCTAGTTCATTCACGGATCCAAGTAAAAACATAAAGTTGATAAATTAGGGTCACATGATTTCATTTAGCATTTTATAAAATACTCAAATTATCGATAATTTGATTGAAAAAAAGCAAACATATAAACCATATAAGCCAACCGATAACAAAATTCGGCTGAATTCGTCGTTTTTGTGTGGAAAAATCTCTCAAATACGAACACCTAATTACACGAAGAACATAGAACACTTTCCCGGGGTATTTGAAACCGAAATTGTCATTTAACTGTAAGGCCGTCGCTGATTGGCTGCTGAGCTGGAATAACAATTTTTTGGTTATTATATTAATATATATTATTACGCCCAACGGATCGTATTTCTGTGAAAGATTGGCATTTTGTCCTAATTTGTAGGAATCTGAAAAACGCGTTTCACAACTTGTCTCTTGTTTAGTTTTATGCCGCATTCAAGATGGCGGCCCCCATATAGTAAATATAAATTATTTTATTATCATGCGTTCGCCAGCTGACTGTGATGGCGACGTACATAACGCGTGTAAAATACATTATTGTTTGTTTGTTTACACGTAATTTGAACACGAATCCGAAGGACGCATACCACTCAATTTCCATGAACAATAATAGCTTTAGTTGAATTTCCAATATATTGTATGGAGTGAATGTAACAGTATTGTTAGAAACGATGAAAAATCTTTGTTATATAATCTATCTTAATTTATTAATTAATTGTAATTTTATTCACAGGTGATATTCAGTATAAAATGAATGTAAACCTTGATTTAGACAGTGGTGACTGTGATGGAGCCTTGCAAATCATCAGTGGGATCACAGTACCCTCGCCTGCTGGATGTGTATGCGATTGGCAGTCTTGTACTGTGGGACAAGGAAGTTGTCCGCCTTGCTGTCAACTTTGTACGTATTATTTGACTTGTAAACAGTATATCGATATTTGCCAGTATTTATTAAAATACCAATATTTCGTGTTATGTGCTTGCTTAATGTTCGCGTTTGAAATTGCATTTCTATGCGATTGTTTACACGTGCCAAGAGTGTATAGAGTCGAATACTTTAGATAATTACTAGTAGAGTTACGACACGAACGTTCGGTGATGTCTTGTTGTATTTACGAATGATCATTGTATTATTGCGGCGCAATATATTGGATTTGCTGTGTAACAGCATCTTAATCTGATACGGCTCCATCTAATACGCTTTGCTGTGAAGGGAATAACATCAAAGAATAAATGTCTTAGATTCCATAACAAATTAGCCACGTACAAACATGAAGTAATCTTGTTAAAAGACATTACAATCTGATATTATATTATATATTTTATTCCAGGTGGCACCTGTTAGGAACAGACATTGAAGTGAATATATCTGCGTATCAGGGTATTTGGTGTCGTCAATGTACATAATCGATCATGGATAATCAGAGTCTAGTAGCAATTATAGTAAAATTATATATTGAATAAAGTAAAGAGGGGAAGTGGTTGTGGTTGAAAATATGATACTTGTGTAGTCATTCTCAATATCTTATGTCGAATAAGCTTAACGTATAACGTATAGGGTTTATTGAACAACAAATCGCAGTATTTATAACTTTACGAATATTAATAGTATTAGTCCTAGTGTGGGTTCAGAATACATCGGTGGATTATATTATGCCTGATGATTCCTTGGTATCACTATTTCATTTAGTGAGAATTGCTACACTCTTCAAGAGTGAGAACAGTTTCATAACATTATATTTCTCAATATAAACCGGCTTATACTCGATATCGCTCATTGTCGAAAATGGAGGAATACGGACAAGTACAACGGTTGTCTGTATTTGTATAAGAAGCATAATCATTCGAGTTCATATCTTTGGGGCCTTACCCATCTAATGATGTAGTTGGTATGTGTTTAGATTAGGCTGTCATTTCACCATGAAGCCTCCGTGCCAATAAAGCATATAATCTGTATAGAGTCAATGATTTAGTTCCAACTATAGAACCAACGACGCTCCGTATGTACACGTATGCGTAACCACTAGTGGTAAATCATATGCTGCGAATAATAACCTCGATATTACAAAAGTTTTCTCAGATGTTGTAGTTATTATTGGCAACACTTCTGGTCATTTAGAATTCTATAAAACATTGAAAACCAGCAAAATCGATGTGTATCCTTAGCCATACATTAGTATGGCTGGACTGTGAGTTATTTCGTACCATTTGACAAAGAGAACAGTTTTGCCTTTAACTTTCTAATCGATACCAGGCCACCAAGTATGTACTCCTGTGAGGAATTTCATTTTTACTACAGTAACTCTAAAGTGATCAAGACGGAATTCATTCTTCACTTTCTGTTGCAACTTTAATGAACAATCGCTCGGATACCCCAGTTAGCCCTTGTCTACTTCTTATGTGTGGTTACAATTCTCCAATCACTTTTCTGGCCAAACCAATCAGCGTGAAATGTGACAACATTATATTGATAGTTTTTCGAGCTCGCTGATAATAATTATGGTTGTTGAATGTTGAACACTTGTTATGGTTTCTTATTTTAATCACTTCTGGTACATTCAGCATCAAAAAACCTTGAAAGCATCCGTTTATATATCAATTAACTAACCAGCTGAAAATAAGACATCTTTCAACGATTGAATCTCGTGGTCCGCTCAACAGTTTGTTCAGGGGTTGAACTAACATCGCTAGATTTGGAATTAACCATAGTTAGTCAATAATCCGAGAAGCAATCTTAACTGTTGTACATTCTGTGATATTGGTGCTTTAGCAATAGCTGTTATCTCTTTCGATGTGGTATGGACTCCTAGAGCATCAATCACAGATCCCATCTATTCGTCATTTGGTTTCATAAACTTGCACTTCATTTTATTCAGCTGCAAACCACGGTCTTGCATTAAATTTGTAGTACGTTTAGATTAACCGTGTGTTCATGCTTACCAGTTATCGGACTTGTATACCTATGAAGACGTATATGTTTATTACTTGTCATGTATTGTCTTTATTTTTCACCAAGAGTATCTGTTGATACGCATGAGTGAGATCTAATTGTATGACCATTGAGTGTTACGAACATATCTTTAGGACTTGGTAAATAATTGATCAACCTGTAAGACTGAATCAACAGTCATGTTATAATCGCCATATATTCTAATATTTGACACATTCATTATTTGAACTGCCAAATAATTATAGATAACCTTTTCTCAAATATTCAATCTCGGTACATGCCTCGGCTTGAAAACCTTAGGTACCGCATCGCTAATTTTATATGACATTCTATTGTTGGTACACTTGGTACTGCTCTTAATAAACCATCAATAACATAAAATACTTTATAGAAGGCCAGTCTACTCTTTTTACTGTAGACAATCAATCTCTATCAAACAAGATCGGAACAGACCCATGGATTACTACAGGTGCCTGACGTTCTGACT